AATTAAACAAATTCTACAAAAATTCTAGTTTTGTGTGTAATAGTAGAAATGTGAAAACAAACGAAAAAAATGGAAAAATAATAAAAAGAAAGGGAATAAGAAAAGGAAAAGGGGTAGGAGGAGGAGGAGGAGGAAGTGGAAGAGGAAAAGGACGAAGCTTTATCGAAGTCTGCGACGAGTTGGGTGCAACGAAAATTGGTTAGTGGTGGGGGTGATGGAGACCAGCCGCATAATGACAGGGTGCCTCGCGCCAAGGCCCCGCTAACGAACCGGCCCACAGGACCCTTTGGGTCCGGGCTAGGAGACGACACTGTATTATTTTACCATTTCGAGGGTCGGAGGCATCATCAGAAATCATCGCCGAATCCATATAATCAGTAGACGGTTACGTGCGGCCATGATTTTAAGTGCGGAAGAAAAGACGATGGCGAGAAAGAGAAAGATGAAGAAGAAGAAGAAAAAAATGAAGGAAAAAAAAAGAAAAATAAAGAATAAGAAGGTGAAGCGAAGGAGGAGGAGGAGGAGGAGGAGTAGGAGGAGAAGGAGGAGAAGGAGGAGTAGGAGGAGGAGGAGGAGTGATCCTAATAACGAGAAGGACGATTCAGAGACGCAGAAAGCAGCAAGATTCTTCTTCTTCGCCCTTCTTCCTCGCCCTTCCTTCTTCCTCTTAATATTAAGAGGTGGAACTTTTCAACTTGTGGATCCTTGATACGAACGTTATAGGACACTCATTGCTGCTGCTGCTTCGCTAATGACACGAATGCGATAAAAAGTCAACCCTCTTCCTTCTTTTCTTCTTCTTCTTCTTCTTCTTCTTCTTCTTCTTCTTCTTCTTCTTTTTCTTCTTCTTCTTTTTCTTCTTCTTCTTCTTTCTTTCCGTCTGTCGCCATCTTGCACGAAAGCAACCAACTGTTGGACACCAGCAAGCAAGTCGTCGCGGATATACCTATTACCTGAGAAACGATTTTGAAGTAGGCTGAGAAAGGGACAGATACCGACGGTGAGAAACGCACAGGTGGTGGTGGTAGTGGAGGAGGAGGGAGAAAAAAAAGTACACAAATGCACTTAGCGATTCTCCGTACAAAATCGGTCCAATGGAAATGGAGGAAGTGATTCCAGGAGCTCAAAACCTTCCTCCTCTTTTTCTGCTTCTTCTTCTTCTTCCTTTTTTTATTTTTTCGTTGCTCTTTGTTTTGTTTGTTTGTTTGTTTGTTTGTTTTTTTACAAGTTCAAATATCGTGATTCCTTTTAACCGAATTAAAAAAAAAAAGATGATAGAAAAAGGTTTATTGTATTGATTCAAAACTATTCGATCATGTGGAGATTATTAATTTGAAATATATAAAATAGTTTATGTATATTTTATGTTTAGAAAGGAGGAATCGCGATTTGTTAAACTGATTGGAACTATGATTCTTACAATTGTCCTTAATGAAAGTTTCGATTTATTTCAATCACCCTAGTAAAACTATAGGATTTGTTCTCTTCTTGTTGACTACCCTAAAAGAAAGAGACGAGATGAAATGATATATAATTCTTTGATATAATGTTCACGGGAAAGCTACGTCATGGACGATGCAACGCAACATACTTACTGGTACACAACATACATGCATGATGGCGACTATATCGTGAAAGTTGATCGATAAAGATCTAAATGAAAGTCGTCGCGTAGCATAACATATCTCTCTCGTATGCATATATATTACGATATATACATGTATATATGTTTATATATAAGTAAATATATATATGTATATTATTTTTTATTTGTATTTATTTGTATGTATGCATATGTTCCAGAAACTTCCTTGAGAAGAAGAAGAAGAAGAAGAAGAGACAGTCTCTGCCTTGAAGGGAAAACATAGAAAACGGTATTTTCTACTAGACACCAACACCCAAACGTCAAAGGAAATTATCGTTCTAGGGATCTTATTTAGAAGATCAAGGGAAACACTGCTTTTACGTAAGTCCTCCTCCTCCTTCTCCTCCTCCTCCTTTTAACTTTAGCATGAGACATTATTAAACTAAGGAAAGGAAAAGATAGATATAAAAAGTTAAAATATTCTATGTGATTTCCTCGTTCTTTCATTGTCAGTTTTATAATTTATTATATTATACGATAATACTGATTATATATAAAATCACTATTTTATAATATATTTAATTATAATATATATATATATATATATAATATAATAAATATTATAAGTATTATAGAATAATTATATTTTTAATATATTAATATATTATATATTGTAATATAATATTAATA